TCATATTCCTCCTCATCGCTAAAATCTGCCACAACACCCTCTTCCTCGGTGAGGTTGAGCTTCCGTAGCAGGTCTGTCACACTAGGGTTAGGGTTCTCCTCCCCGCCGTCCATACTGCCACCTCTCGCCGACGCCATGCGCTCAGGCTCGAGGGCAAAACTTGATGAACTACACGTAGATCAGCGCAGCCACAAGAAATCTCCCGACCTAGGGTTCCTAAGCGGTGTTAGTCCCTAGGAGAATTTGTGGTTGACGGCGCCTGGACGGCTAACCGTCGATTTGCGTGGGCCGGCATCGACTGCAGGTCGTCGATGGGGCTTGGACGTCGTGACCAGAGTGGTCAGCGGCGGAGCAGATCGAGGCCGCCGGCGGTGGCGACCTAGATCGAGGTCAGGAATACGATCACCTTCGGAATTGCCTTCGTTACGATCAGGCCCGGCCCGAGGGGGGGGGGGTGCGAGCTGTGCAGCCGCATTGGGCCCTCGAGGCCAGGGGGCCCAACCCCATTTATGTATGTAGTACTAGTATTCTTTGTATGGCCCATTATTAGTCCATAGAATAGGTGAACCAGCCAAGTAGCCAACCAGGCGTACGAGATACGAGTCCAGAAAATCGTGTCGATTGCGTTCCGCACTTCCACGTCCGCGACTCCGCCCTTCCGCCGCGCGGCCTCGGCGACTCCGTTCTTGCGCGAGCAGAGCAGCGACGATCGCGTGCGTGCGTCTTGGTGATCTTGGCGATCGAGCGTGAGCGGCTGTCGGGTGCCGGCTGGCGACGGCGCGACGCACACGCACTGACTCTATCCATCTGTGTTTCTGGCTTCCTACGGAGGTAACAAACTGACCCTTGGCCCTAAGCGGCCAAGCCCCTCTAATCTCCCCGTTCCCCAATCTTTATTCTTTATACTTCTTTAGATTTGGGATTTAAGATTAAGAATGAGGAATCTTATACAAGTAGCAATCATGTTGAATTCAGTATGATATATTTTTTTAATTACTAGGTACTTTTCTGAATCTGCAGTGAACTCATGTTGCCCAAAAAGCATGCATCTGGAAGTGAGAAAAGAAAAAAGAAGAGAAAGATAGATGCCTTGAAAGAATCACAAAGGGGATCTATTCATAAATTTTTTAAAAGCAGTACAAGCACTACAAGAAATCCAGATGAGTGGACAATTGTTATTGTGGAGGAACAAACTATGCATCTAGAAGACCAAAGCCCTATAGAAGATAGTGTTGGCACCGACATGGATGATAATAATGTGAGTGACCATGAGCCCGTACTTAATTCTCCTACAACGCAATCTACTCGTGTTGATGAAGAACCAATTTTTACTATTGATATGTATGATCCAATAAATTGGGGCAATCTTGACAACAAAGCAAAGGACATATTAGTGGAGAAGGGGCCTATTAGAGAAGAAAATATTGTGTTGATGATATTAGAGGTCAAGGTTATGACAATGGTGAGGGGCTTTTCAATGTATTAGTTGACTCCATCAAATCATTTGGCTTTAATGTTGATGATATTAGAGGTTCAAGGTTATGACAATGACTCTAATATGAAAGGAAAACATAAGGGGGTATAAAGTCGTTTGCGTGAAATAAATCGAAGGGCTTTGTATATGCCATGTGCATGCCACAGTCTTAATCTCACTCTTTGTGATATGGCTAAATCATGCAGTAAAGCTATTTCATTCTTTGGAATTGTGCAGAGGATATGTATTATTTTCAGGTTCTACCAAAAGATGGAAAGTTTTGCTTGAACATGTTCTAGATTTGATCGTGAAATCATTAAGCAATACTCGTTGGGAGAGTCGCGTCAAAAGTGTCCGAGCAATTAGATATCAAGCTCCTCAACTAAGGTCAGCTTTGTTGTGGCTAAGTGAGGATGGAGATACTGAACCAAAGGATAGAAGTGATGCAAAAAATTTATATGACGTGCTTGGCAGCTTTGAGTTCATACTTGGTATGGTTATTTGGCATGACATTTTATACTATGTAAATATTGTCAGCAAGAAGTTGCAATCACCATCCATGTGCGTTGATTCTACCTTAGCAGCATATAGAAGGTATGGTGAATTACTTTCAGAACTGGGTTTGCTGATAGTGTGGTTGCTGCCACAGAAATAGCACTTGAAATGGGAGTAGAGGCATCATTTCCAGTAAAGCGTTGTTCTGTTAGGAAGAAACAATTTGATGAAACTGAATGCAATGAAGCTATCTTGCAAGCTGAGAAGGATTTTGAAACTTTTTATTTTTTGGTTATGGTTGATATGGCAATTAGTTCATTGAAAAACATATTTAAAGAACTACAGTCATTCAATGAAAAATTCGGATTTCTAATGAATTCAACATCCTTGAAGGCAATGGATGGTGTTGATCTAAAAGACCATTGCATTAAATTTGTAAAAACTTTCTCTTCAGATGGTTCATCGGATGTTGATGTAAATGACATGATTTCTGAGTTAACTGTTATGCAGTCTACTCTGCCAGATAAGCCAATGTCTGCTACGGAGATTTTTGAGTTTGTCACAGAAGCGGATTGTTATCCTAATATTTCTATTGCTTATCGGATCCTATTCACTATGCCTGTGACTGTGGCCTCAGCTGAAAGAACATTTTCAAAGCAAAAATTATTGAAGAATTATTTGAGGCCTGTAATGTCCCAAGAAAGATTAAATGGTTTGGTAACTTTATGCATCGAGAAGAAATTATTAGATGAAATTGATATTGAGGCCATCATCAATGACTTCGCAGCAGCAAATGTTAGAAGAAAATTTTAAGGTAATATAAAATGTATAACTTTTTTGTTGTTTCATAAAAAAAAAATTATGCATTACACTTATTAAAATTATCATTATATTATTAGACTTATATTAAGGGGCCCATCGCCTATGGCTTCGCTCCATGTCTATAATTTGACAGGGCCGGGCCTGGTTACAATCCAGAAATCACGGAGCAGCTGCATGGCGGCCCTAGAGGGAGTATGTCAGTATGCGCAACATGGCTCATTTGAGAAGCTGCACAAATGAAGCAAAAGTGGCGGTCTTAAATTTATCTTTAATAATTAATTTGAAACCAAAAGGATAACTGCCAATGTTTTTGTTTTAAAAAAATTATTAATTGTAATTTCTATGCGGTAACGTTCGAGCATATTTAATAGCCTTTGCCTCATTATAACCCATTCTTAAGGATGATTTTTCAATGTTTTCCTTTAAGGACCTGTTTGAATGTAATTCTCTTATAGTGAGAATTTGGATTCTAGACAGTGAATGTATAGAATTTGGATTCCGAGTTAAAAGAAATTTGGATCCCATTCTTATAATAATTATTGTATTTGCATAATAAAAATCTCCAAATAATAGATTTGAGGTAGATAGTTGGATTCTAGAATTTAAACGTTTGGATTTCATTTGCATTTTTCTATCCCATTCTCATTTTTGTTAGAAGATCTAAACAAGACCTGATGTACTCCCTCTGTCCACAAAACAATGCAACCTCTAGGATTTGTGCAAATCAAAATAGCTTGACTTTGATCAAGTTTATAATGAATAATATTAACATGGTTTTATTTTGTATCATAGATGTTACTCCCACAACTCCAGATTATAAGACGTTGTGGCTTTTTCTAGATACATGCTTTTATTATGTATCTGAATATAGTGTATACCTAAGAGCAAAGCAAAAGCTACGAATCTAGAAAAGCAAAAACATCTTATAATTTAAAATGGAGAGAGTAGTACCTTTTTATACTACAACCATCCAAAAAAATGCAATTCTAATATGGTACCAAATTAATGTATCTTAAGCTTAAAAAACTATAAATAAAAAAAATCAATAATTATAATATCAAATAAGTATCATTAGATTTGTCATAAGATATACTTTCATACTACTTTTTTCGTGCCATGAATGTTAATATTTTTTTATCAAACTTTAAACACGGTAACTAAGAATACACATAGAATTACATCCTTTTATGCATAGAGATACCGTGCAACTAAAAAGTTGTTGGAAATGGGCCCAAAATGTTTTACGCATCGCTGCTACCATTGCAAGAAATTTGGCCTTGTTCGTTTTGCTGAAATTTGACTTATGTTGATGCTTATGCTGATTTGTCATGAGAGAAAAACATTGAAGATGATGATCATTTGAAATTTGTTTGGCCCCCCCTCATATCTTCACCTATTCACCGAACCCAGTGGTGATCTTCTCTCTCACATAAGCGAACCCAACGACGATGAATCGAAACCAAACCAACCGAACAGACTGATTGTTTGTTCACCAAAAATACTGTTGAAGCAGTGCTAATAACATAGTAATAAGTTCAAGCATGTCAGACTGTCAGTGACAAGATGTTTGAAATCTCGGTAACACTGTGGCTGCCTCTTAGATTCTTTTCACCGAAACATGACCCATCTTAATGCATGTACAAGGAAATAACAAAAACTTGTTTTTTATGGGCTCTACCTTAATGCTTCTTTTGTCATAAACATTGATTTTGTCCTGACCATCTGCGAGACCACTAGCCCGTGTGACTTGGAAGCTCAACGCCGACGTGGAGTCTGGACTCTGGAGCAGCACGCTCACTAGCGTGTGGCTTGGAAGCTCAACGCCGACGTGGAGTTCTGGGGCAGCACGTCACCGTATTGCGTCGGGGAAGGCCTAAAGTGAGTCGGTTGCGGCAGAGGCCCCCCCCTGCTTCTCTGGCAACTTGGTCTTATTAACGAAAACGAAGATCCCCCCGTGGCATATTCTCCGTCCGTCCCTCCGTGGCCGCCCTGCCATCGGGAGGAAAACCCGCACAAGAAAAGAGAAACCCGCAAGCCGCCCCGCGCAAGCCCGTCGCCCGTTGCCGCGGTCAAATTCGTCGGCGGTTGGGGCTGCGGGGTGACTGGCCGCCGGCCGCGGGGCGCGCCCGGCCTGGTGGGATCCCTTCGGATTTCCACTGATTCCCGCGCGGGGGGTGTTTGATTTGGATGAGAGGAGCGCGGCGGCGGGATGGGGACCCCTTCGCAGGGCTCGGCGGCCGTGGCGGCGGCCCGGGTCGACCTCTGCGCGCTCGACCTCATGCCCGTCTTTGCCAAGGAGATGATCGCCGGCGGCGTCGCCGGCGCCTTCTCCAAGACCGCCATCGCGCCGCTCGAGCGCGTCAAGATATTACTGCAGGTTCGTGGGGTCCTCTCGTTCGTCCCGTGGGTAGACATGCGTGTCGATAATACGTTGCAATGTAGGCATATCGATTGACAGATAAAATCTCCTGATTTGCGCGGGCCTACGGATCCTCTCTCGCCATGTCTGCAATTGAAACGAGTTTATCGATGTAGGAGCAGTGGTCAAATGTGAGTAGCCATAGACAAGATTTGGTTCAGGACGCAACGTCCAAGATTCATAGCGAAATGATCTTTTGTCCTGTCACTCAGCAGTCTTTGAGAACGAAGTGCTTTTCTTAGTTGAAACTACCCACATGTTTTGCAATGCAAGATTGTGTGACTGCAAGTTTCTTTGTGTAGAATTACAATGATCTTTCTGTGTACGAACTCGATGCTGATAGCTGAAGGATGCCAAAGTGTAAACATGTCGGACGTCAATGAAATTGATGTAACAAGAGATAATTAAGACCATAAAAAGATCAGATCGTGCTAGATGTCTTCAATATTCCTGAATGCAGGCGTGCCCTGATCTCTGGAAAACAAAATCTGCCCCATTCAACATGGTTGGAACTATCTATTTGTTTCTTTAGAAGACTGTGCTATAGACTATCGGATGGAGAGACAACTGTAGCATCCTGAAATCTCAACTGCAACCTTGTCCATGCAACTCCTGTAAATGCTATTGATTTGATCCCGCTATTTCCTAGGTATACCAGGCTTCGTTTTAGGGTGTTGACAGCGTTCAGTCAAAATTCTGCTTGTCTTGCCTTGTAGTTGCTACATGTTACAAAAGCTACCCAACTGCCTGATTAATTTTGCACATCACGCCTGATGCTATTTTGAGATTAATGCATGCTAATTCTCATTCAACTTTATTCTGCTTATGTAGACCAGAACAAATGAGTTTGGGTCTCTTGGAGTTCTCAAATCATTGAAGAAACTGAGACAACTTGATGGAGTCATGGGCTTTTACAAGTACGTAGCAATTTGAATATTGCATTATTTGGACTGAATCATCAAGTTTAGGATATAATATTACTTACTAACCTTGTATTGATGCTACCTTCAGAGGAAATGGTGCCAGTGTGCTGAGAATTGTTCCTTATGCTGCATTACATTACATGGCATATGAGCGGTACCGGTGTTGGATTTTGAATAACTGTCCCTCACTGGGAACAGGGCCTTTAGTAGATCTTTTAGCTGGTTCAGCATCAGGGGGACTGCTGTATTGTGCACTTATCCCTTGGATTTGGCCCGGACTAAGCTTGCCTTCCAGGTTTTTCCTTTTGCACTAGTAATTTTGTCTTTACGATCTCAAGTCCTTCATCACCTTCCTTTTGTCATTCTGGATTACTAAATCTTTACTTGAACATCTATACTTTTTGGATCAAGGATATAATGTTTAAGATAAGTTGCTTCATAAATAATAACAGCGATAGATAACTTGTTCGATCAACAAAGTTTTGATCTCTAACAATTACATTTCATCATAATCAATGTTTATATGAGCATTTTATGAATTGATCAAATGAAGATTATTTCTGACACGCCTTAGTTTTCTCACTTTTTAAGAAAAAGTGTAGCTAATTTTTCTGTCTGGAGATCTGTACACAGGAAATCAGTAGTATTTATTTGTCAAACAAAGGGAGTAGTATTTACATCCCTACCACATGAATAATCTTTCTACCCACCTTGTTACCACGTCGGGTTCATGTAACTGGCTGTAAGCCAGTAACTGTAGTTCTTTTGGCCAAATTGGTGGGTAACTGAAAATTTCTTGCTGGTACCCACCACCCTGTTAGGTTATCTTCTACATCAAAATGCTTAAACGTGCTTGTTCCAAAATTCAAGTCTTCAAAAATTTCTATTTGAAATTCACACATCAAGCCAGAGTAGCTTTCAGGGCTGAATAGTTGATGTTTATCTTTCGTCATAGGTCAATAGTTCAGACCAATTCAGCAGAGCTTTGAAAAGGGGAAGTCCTCAGCCAGCATATGGAGGAATAATTGATGTCTTTAGAGGTGTTTACTCAGAAGGTGGAGCGCGGGCTCTTTACCGAGGTGTAGGTATGGTTATTCCCTTCATATGCTGTATTATCATTAATTGTTCAAGCACTTGGAAATCTCTAGACAGCTCACTAGGCGCTATAAGCAGTTTAGATTCAGGCACATCATATTTTAGTTATGTCTGGATGAATTTATTACTTGTTGATGTAGTTATACTCTTCAAAATTTAGTCAGCTCACTCGGCGCTATAAGCAGTTTAGATTCAGGCACAGCATATTTTAGTTATGTCTGGATGAATTTATTACTTGTGGATGTATAGTTATACTGTTCAGAGTCGGGGCTCAAATCTGAACCATTCTTCATTAGGTCCAACGCTCATGGGGATACTTCCTTATGCTGGTCTGAAGTTCTACATATATGAAGGACTGAAGGCACATGTACCAGAAGATTACAAAAGTTCGGTAACATTGAAGCTGACATGTGGTGCTGCTGCTGGTTTATTTGGACAGACTCTTACTTATCCTTTAGATGTTGTCAGGAGGCAGATGCAGGTATCATATTTGCAGTCTCTGTTTATTATTATCATCATAAGAAGATACTAATGTTCTTGATAGTCACTTCATCATTCTGACTTTTTTTTTGTGTTTGCTCCTGCTGTTGTAGGTTCAGAGTCAGCAACAACATGAACAATTTGGTGGGCCACGAATAACGGGCACATTCCAGGGTCTTATGTCCATTAAACAAACACAGGGTTGGAGACAATTATTTGCTGGCCTGAGCCTCAATTACATCAAGGTATTTATGAAGATAATCGTTGACATTTTGGTTCAACTCACTAGAGTTGGCATGCTTAGGTGTTTAGTTCTATGCCAAGTTGCACGGGCACATTTTTTCTGGCTATTTAGTTCCCAAACACACTGAACAAAACCTACTGCAACTGTCCCACTATAACAGTGTCTGAGCGTCCTGCATTCGTGGTTAGAATTGTCCCGAGTTTTGTAACTTTGTTGTGAAAGTACTTATGCATATTTTTTATTTCTGCCTGAATTTATAAGACATAATATTCGAGATCTGTGATGGAACACAAAAATAGACAAGTAGCTTCTTATTTTATTGAAAAGTTTATCAGTTTATACCTTTCTTTTCGATGCTTGATGTGCTCTTTAGAACCCTTGGCCAGGAATCCTCTGTAACTGTAACCTTATCTGGAATGTGGACCTTTTATTAGTAACCCAGGTTCTTGTTCGTAGCTTGTGACTTTTCTTATAGGCAAGTTGGTCTTGTTAAATTTGAATTAACTGGATTCTCCCTATTGAATAGCATGCTTTATCTTGATGATTTCTGTTTACTAACTAACTGTTTTACTTGTTGAATACTGCCTTTACTTGTATTCAGATGTGTACTATGATTGTCATGTTTTTATGCGTAATGTTAAAAAACATGGATCATTTTGTAGGTGGTGCCCTCAGTGGCCATTGGTTTCACCGCATATGACACCATGAAGCATTTGCTGAAGATACCTCCAAGAGAGAAGAAGAGGTCTGGGCATGCCCCTGCTTGAAATTTTGGTCGCTCTATTCTCCAGCTAGCAGAACAAGTAGTGCTTCCGAGGCTTGGAAATTGCCGTATGAAGCTTGCAACAGAATGAAGCAGCCTCGCCCGCAACTCTGTTACCTAGTATTAATTGTGTCACGTAATAGCTATAGCTACCTGCCTGACATATTCTTTCATTCTAATTCGCCTCATCCATTTACCTTTTGAATTTCGAGTGTACATTTTATCCACCGTGTGGAATGGTGGAACTGAGTTAACATCTTGTGAGTTGTGACATGACTATACGGAAACTTAAAACTGATCGATCTATCTATTCCTTGATTAACATATCCTTTACAATACCTGAAGGTCGGTGGCTTCCTAGAGCCTGGTTTGGGCCTCCAAGCAGCTAACCAAACCAAATAGGCCCAATGTATCTAGAGTCCCTAAACAAACTGCCTGACTCTTAAATTAGCAACAAACATAATCTAGATAGATTGAGACTCAGCCCAACAACTGGCCGTCGAGCGGCGAGACGTGCGCATCGTGCGCAGGCCTGATAACTGGCCGTCGAGCGGCGAGACGTGTGCGTCGTGCGCGTGGGCTGGCTCCTGCATGCGATCCCTTGCTCCAACTGCCCGGCGCCCACGGCGTCTATAGGAGCGCCCGTACATCACACAGGTACATAGAGGTGGCCCACTTTACTTCCTAGGAGCCCACAACGTACGTGAGTTTGATGTTCGTCCTGCTGCCGTTCTTCCGGCGCCGTCACACCAATTGAGACCCGAAGAGATTGAGAAGGTAGGGATCTCGCCGGCGCAGGCCCGCGGAGGCGCCGATGGAGCCTATATCGAACAGAAAAGGAGAAAATGATCTCGGCTACCCAGAGAAAGGGAATCACGGCACCGGAGAGGAGATGGTTGCGCAGCAAGGAGAGGAAGGGCCAGTGACGAAGAAGCCACGCGTTGAAGTTGAAGTTGAAGATGAAGATGAGGAGGGGCTCACGAATCTGAAAAGTTTCCGCAAGAATTGGTTGAAGGTGATGTCTCCGTTCGTCGGTCCCTTGGAAGCAATCAGTAAGTTCTCGTCTTCCCGCTCTCCACATAACATGACTCAATCGATCTACAAAGTTCGTTCCATATGAAATTGGAGTGATTTGTTAATCGAGCCACTATGCTGTTGCTGTTTCGGTCCCCAGCTGGGACGGAAATTGGACCCAAGCACTACACAGAGTCAGGGCCGCCCCGCTTCGGCGGTATCGATTACGACGCCTTGGAGATCTTCTCGCTCAAAGCTACCGAGATCAAGGAAGGTCTCGAGTGGCCGCTTCGTGTCTTCGGCCTCGTCGCTGTGCGGCACTCGATGGATTCTAGGCCCTGTTCGCCCCGAAGAATTTAGATGAAAAATCTGAATAAATCTGGAGGAATTTACGAGAGAGTAAACGATAAAAACCAGCCATGCACAGTACAATCCGGCTGGTTTTCACGCCAGCCGAACTGCCCCTAAGCGCAACATGCTTTTCCGTCGTTCCAAGGAAAACTGCGCGCCAAGTCCTCATGTATGTATGATAGCCTAGAGGCTAGAGCTATTCTGCTCTGTCACTCCTGTCCATTAAGCATCAACTGCATATCTGAATAGTTAGCATACTACAGTCTATAACAAATTTCAGCGGGCAAGAATCTTGGTTCACCATGTGTGTCCTGAAATATACTTCAATCTGTGGCTGTCATCAACCAGCCAAGTAATTCAGACAGCAAAATCTGCGATCTGCTACTATAATAATAGTCCACGTGTGCACCACAAGTGCCAATGACGTCCGTTTATTAAGTCATTTGGAATATTATTGCTTGATCATGCACATGCCTTAAAGTTTCTGTAGTCACCAACAAATTACCTTCCTGGAATCCTAGATAGGGGACTCCATGGATTTAATTAGTTGATTTGTTCTTAAAGTGATACATGTTCGCAATAAAAAAATTGATAAATATTCGCATAGCCGACCAATGTTAGATGTTTAAAGGTTTACGTAGAGGTTATTCACTTATCCATTTTCTCAGTGTGTTTCTGTTTAGAGTCTATCTATCTAATAACCATGTGTTTTATGCAGTTTCAACACATGAATTTTTTTGCACCATAGAATTAAGATCCAACAGCCTCCATCCTCCTTCTACCTCCAGCCTTCTTCTACCTCGACAATCACAAATCACAAGATCACAGATCCACAGATCACAAGAAACAATTTTTTTCTATGCAAGGACAAAAGAACAAATCGGTAAAACACGTGTCACGCGCCACATTTGCTCCTGCTGGGCCGCGTACGTACGGGCCCCGGCGCTCTGCCGTCGCCGCCAGCCCGGTCGAGGGTGACCGATCACACACGCCTCTCGCTGGATTTTCACCTGGGCTGCCGCCTGCCGACACGGTTCAGTGGGGGACGGGGAGAGAGGAAAAAAATCCATGTGTTTTTTTTGTGCTAAAACACATGTGTGTGGTATAACATTTCTGTTCTGTTTATTAGTATTGTCCCAGTCATTGTTTTAACGTTTGCTGCCTGTGGTGTTATTTTAGTAATTAAGTTTGTTATACTGCTCCCTTTATTTATTTTATCGCAAAACACCGGAGATTTGGACTGGCGGCTTAAACCCCGTCGCAGGATCCCTTCCTGGAGCTTACAGGTCCTAGCCGTGCTATTGCATTGATTGACGCTCCAGAGTTTGTGGTTGAGCTCAGTCATTGGCAGCAGCCCATCAGAGGAAAAACTTTTGAGTGCTGCAATTTTTAGATACGACAACAATAGCTACGGTGCAAGAAGTTCTGCAGGCCAGGTCCAGACCCGTATAGTGTCAGCTAAGCCGAACACAATTGAGCTAAAATACTCACATCTGAAAGTGCCATTGGAGGCAACCATTGAGATACATCACTCAGAAGGATCGAGTGATTTTCGTGGTCTATTCTTTGCCCATATGGAATATATGGGTGAAGAAAAAATAACGTTGCTTGATTCCAGTGACTGTAATGTGACAGTTGGATCTGATGGCAGCATTCCACTTGCACGATGTGTCGTGATAGTTGACGACCAAGCAAAGCTGACACTGGGTGTGAAGGCTTGGCAAGGCGAAAATGGCCAGGATGCTGGTGTTGTAAGATGGGAGTTTATGTTTATTGGTCAGTGCCTTGCTAGTTAAGTCATGTTTTCCTGGTGCTGCATTCTGTCAGGATTATTTTGAGGTTAGGCTATGCAGGTCTTCTTTGTTAATGTGTCAAACTGTCAATGTAATTAGCTTGTGGTATACCATTATTATCAACGGGTTCATGTTGAAGTAGTTGAACTGCTATCTATCTATCAGTTAATATATTCATAAAGTTGTTCTCGCTAGTACAAAAACATGCTTAGATGTAATCTTTTCCACATCTGATGAGGGTTTAAAGATAATGCAAGGACCGAGACGGTTAATATAATATATAAGAGCCTAAGAGGGAGTGAATTAGGCCACTTCAAAATTATAGGCTCTAAAACCACTTATAAAACCTACACAAGTTCTATATAGTTGTGTACTAGGTTCCAACAATGTAGTTCTACACCCTAGCTAGCTTCCAACAATGTAGGATTTTCTCTTAATTAATCCCGTAATTTCTAGGCTTGCCAGCGGACATTGTAACTTATTTAACACCGTTGCAATAACATAACTGATAGATAATTTTTTCGGTTTTTGCGTATTGTGTCGTTTGGCCCAATTTTCATGAGAAACTATACAAATAGAGAAAAAAAAGACAGTTTTGAGGAATATGCATTCTAATACGATGAGGGTGGTTGTAAGAACTGTGACTAGTACCAGGTAAGTGCTAGCGTCCGGACGTCCATACGGACGTGTGCGTCCAAACGCCCGCGACTGCTCTCCGTTTCCCGCTCCTGTTCTATGCAATGCGCCCTGGTTGCTCAAATTTCGCGCTGCCTGGAAGACTCGCCCCACCCACGCCGCCCGCCCACACGCGGAGCCGTATGCGCCCCTCTGTTTTCCCGCTGAGCTCGAATTGTGTAGGGTTGAGATGGCGAACTAGAGGGGGGTGAATAGTCCTTTCTAAAATTAATCACACCGGCTAACCGAAATAAATGCGGAATTAAATCTAACAGTCTAGCCAAGACTACACCCATCTATCTAAGTTATCAAGCACCTTAAAAAGACCCTAAACAAGCAACTAAGGTGCCAGGCTAGTTAAAGCTCACCTAACCAATTCTAGGAGCAAGGTCCAACAAACATATGTCACTAGTACTTCAAGCACCGGGGAGCTCCTACACATGCTAGTAGTGAAAGCACAAAGCTCCAAAGCTCACTAGCAATGCTCAATAACAAGACTACACAAACCAAATTAGAGTTCAATTTACTTAGCTAAATAAACTAAGCAAGGCAACTAATTTACTACAAAAGTAAACTAGTTACACGAGGTCGCTACTTCTATGCTACACAAGCAAGAAGTTAACTAGCAAGCTACACAAGCTAACTAATTACAAGAGCAACTACAAAAGCACAATATATGAATAAGTAAATACAAGCTTGTGTAAGGTGATTGCAAACCAGCGGGGTGAACAAGGTTGACACGATAATTTTTATCCCAAGGTTCCTTTGGTTGCCACCAAGCTAGTCCCTGTTAAGACAAGCTCCAAGGTTGCTGACGGTTCTCTTGCTAGTGGTGACCCGCAAGTCACACTCTCCCACGTGGAGTGCTTACCACAAGCTCTAGCACTTGACCCGGCCGGACCATTGTCGGCCTTCGTGTCTCGCTCTACTAGAGTTGCTCTTCGCAGCTCCCGTGGGGCGAGCACAACACCCCTCACAATCTCTTCTCTTGAGCATAACACAATCTTCTTTGCGTGCTTCGATGGAGACCACCACCAAGCCGTCTAGGAGGTGGCAACCTCCAAGAGTAACAAGCACCACCGGCTTACAACTCGATCACCTAGTGCCACTCGATGCAACCTCACAATGCAATTGCACTAGAATCACACTTACACTCAAGGATGATCATTATCAAGCGTATGTGAGTTAAAGGGCTCCCAAGCACACCTACATAAGCCACCAAGCTTAAGGATGCTCAGCTACCAGCCCAAGGCCAGCCAAGGCTCCTATTTATAACCCCACGAACAAATAGAGCCGTTACCCCTTCACTGGGCTATCTGCGTACCGACCGGACGTGTCCGGTGTAGCGACCAGGCGTCTGGTCGCTGCTAACCTACCACATGTCCCTTTCAAATGAGTTAGCCGTTGGCACCCAACGGCTCTCTCTGCGTGCTCTGACAGATATGATCGGACGTGACATTAGAAAACAATCAGATGCTCCCTGGGCAACGTCAGGTCGAGTCCAGAGAGCCCCCAGAGCCACTCTGGACCGACTGGACGCACACAATGTCAGGTCGCACACAGCCGCGTGCTCTACCTCCTCATACCGGACCACATCTCAGCCATAGAGACGTGCTTTGGGTCAAGGTGAGATCTAAAATGCTTTGTGAATTCAATCCCCACTAGGCCTATTGTTAGGTTACTCGATGCACTTAGAGTTTGGTCAGGGTCAAAAACCACACCGAGAGGTTCTGGGGCAGACCGGACGTGTCTAGTCACTGCCGATCGGACGCACCCCAGAATCGGGTCACCCCTACCTCAGCTGTTCACGCCTGGGCTGAATATCGGACGCGTCCGGTCCCAATATCGGACGCGTCTGGTCACGTCGAGAACATTGGCCGAGCCTGGGTTAAACACCGGACGTGTCCAATCCCAATATCGGACGCGTCCGGTCACCCCGTAACCAGCGCTTTTAACTCCTTTTCTTCACCAACTTCTTCTCCTTTGCAAATGTGCCAACACCACTAAGTGATATACCACCTTATACACGTGTGTTAGCTTTTCGCAAACATTTTTCCAAAGGATTAGTCACTCAATTCACCATGCCACTCGATCCTAGCAGCGATGCAAAGTTAGATCACATGAGTGGCACTAGATGACCGATATGCAAACAAGTTTGCCCCTCTTAATAGTACGGCCATCTATCCTATACCCGGTCATAAACTTCTCTACACATCTATGACTGGTGAAATGAAATGCCCTACAAATATACCTTTGCCTTGCGCATTCTATTTCATCTCTTCCAATATTGACGCAACACAAGCACCAACCTTGATCAACAAATGATATGATTCACTTCATATTGAAAGGATCAAGATGCCCAAGAGGGGGGGGGTGAATTGGGCTAATTCTAAATTTTCTTGCAATAATCTAATCCTACGGATAGCCCAAGTAACCCCTTGTGCCTAGAAAAGTGTTTCTATCAAATTAACGCACAAAAGACTTGCAACCTATGTTCCAAACTTACTCTAGCATGGCAATTCTATGAATGTAAAGACAAGTATTGAATTGCTCAAAGTAAATACTTAAAGTAAATGCTCAAGGTAAATGGAGAGAGGAACGCGGCGATGTTTTGCCGAGGTATCGGAGAGTCGCCACTCCCCACTAGTCCTTGTTGCAGCACCCACGCAAGGGTGTAGCTCCCCCTTGATCCGCGCAAGGATCAAGTGCTCTCTACGGGTTGATTCTTCGACACTCCATCGCGGCGAATCACCCAAAGCCGCTCACAACTTGAGTTGGGTCACCCACAAGCTCCGCCGGGTGAACACCAAGCTCCCAATCACCACCAAGCCGTCTAGGTGATGGCGATCACCAAGAGTAACAAGCACGAACTCTCACTTGACCATGCGAAGCCTAATGAGAAGATGGATGCACACTTGTCTACTCTTGATTCACTAATGAGGTTTCACTCTTGGATTCTCAAATCACAAACACCTCACTAGGACCTTGCTCTTCTTGGCACTCACAAACGTGTTTCTCAGCTGTTTGAATGAGCAAAAGTACCTCCACACACGAGTGGAGCTTCTATTTATAAGGCAGCCTGAAAAACGAACCGTTATGAGCTTCTGCGGGGTGACCGGACGCTCCGGTCGTGTTGACCGGACGCTCCGGTCAGTTCAACCCGCGAACCAGTAAAAATGTATTGACCGGACGCTAGCAAGGTCCAGTCAGTACTGACCGGACGCGTCCGGTCGCATAAAACCCTTACTGGAACCTTACTAGACTCGACCGGACGCTGAACCCTCAGGGTCCGGTCAGTACTGACCGGACGCGTCCGGTCGCAGATTCCCTTCACTGGAACCTTACTAGAGTCGACCGGACGCTGCCTTTCAGCGTCCGGTCACTTGACCTCTCCAGCGTCCGGTCACACCGAACGCAGACGTTGATCAAATGAACTGACCGGACCCTGTGGCCAGCGTCCGGTGACACCGGGGCCAGCGTCCGGTCAGTGTTTGACCCTCCATTCACTTCCAACTTCCGAACATATGTGAATGAAGTTTGCTCCAAAGGATCTTAGGCATTCATAGGAGCTACCTAGAGCTAGTTTTGACAAGTGTGCACCACACCTAACTCACTAGACTCAACTAGGTCAAGCTACCCATCCATACCCCCCTTAATAGTATGGCCAAAGGAAAAACAAAGTCCTAAACTACTCTAAGTGTCTCTCCAACTCCAATCGACACTTAGAACTAGTCATCCTTAACCTTGTCGTCCATCCTTTAAAAACCGAAACAATTTCCATTGAGGGGGCACGACAACTTTGATTGCCCAATCGATCTTCGTTACCATGACCTAACTTAATTGCCTCTGCAAAACACACGTTAGTCAAAGTAATCTTGTATTGTCATTAATCACCGAAACCCAACTAGGGACCTACATGCTTTCAATCTCCCCCTTTTTGGTGATTGATGACAATACCACCTCGAGTATGTGAAAGAGTGAGGTTTTTGACGGGCTTGGTTCATATAAGTTTTTGTCGATAAGAACAAAAGTGTTAGTCAAGCTTACATGACCCAAGCCAACACAATGTACTCAAAGGATGTGAATTAAGCATGAGTACGATTAACAAAGCTCATTTGCATCGGAGTATAACCGCGGAAGCAAGGGCAAATGAACAATAACACAAGTGATATGACATATAAATAATGTAAAGTAGAGAGCACACATGTCATATATCACAATCACATAGATAACACTATCACATAGATAGAATAATATGCGTGAAAGTAAGCACACGAATGCAAAAGTAATAGTGTATCACACAAATAAAACTCCAAATGTATATAATA